TTTGGTACGAAAATAAAAATTGTTTTCAGAGTTAATTTGATTATTAACTTTTGAAATTAAATTAAGCTCATTTTTGACCCAAAAATTAGAAAAAAAAAGTTTTGAATTAGATTTTGTTTGAAGCTTATTAATTATTCAAATCTAATTAAGCTCATTAATTTGTTATAATTTTTTACCTCAATTGACACAAATTTTGTTTTAATTTAAAAATTATAAGATAATTTGTATCTTTAGTAAATTATCATCTTATTCATATATATTTATAACTAAAAATGAGTCAATGCAGGTCGACCTAAATATTTTATTGTGATTCCATTCTGAACAATAAACCAATTACAGCGAAATACGGCTCTTTGTTTTTTTTTTGTTACATTATTACGTCCACTATTTCATATTATGCTCATTTTTGGTACGAAAATAAAAATTGTTTTTAGAGTTAATTTGATTATTAACTTTTAAAATTAAATTTAGCTCATTTTTGACCCAAAAAATTAAAAAAAAAAATGTTTTGAATTAGATTTTGTTTCAGGCTTATTAATTTTTCAAATCTAATTAAGCTCATTAATTTGTTATAATTTTTTTACTTTTACCTCAATTGACATAATTTTTGTTTTAATTTAAAAATAATAAGACAATTTGCATCTTTACTAGATTATCATCTTATTCATATATATTTATAACTAAAATTGAGTCAATGCAGGTCGACCTAAATATTTTATTGTGATTCCATTCTGAACAATAAACCAATTACAGCGAAATACGGCTCTTTGTTTTCTTTTGTTACATTATTACGTCCACTATTTCATATTATGCTCATTTTTGGTAAAAATAAATAAAAATTGTTTTCAGAGTTAATTTGATTATTAACTTTTCAAATTAAATTAAGCTCATTTTTGACCCAAAATATTTAAAAAAAAATGTTTTGAATTAGATTTTGTTTCAGGCTTATTAATTTTTCAAATCTAATTAAGCTCATTAATTTGTTATATTTTTTTTTACTTTAACCTCAATT